TTGGATATTGGGTCAGACTTAGGTTATTAAAAGACTCCTTTTAACTGAGATACCTTCTTTTGTTGTGGCTCTTTGAGAAAACAGGATGTAAGATGTTTATTTCAGCCTGTGGGCATACGTAATGCCTAATGCTAACGATAAGAGCTCATTTTGGATTAGTTCAAATATCCAGCAGTTGAATGTTTTATTCTACTTATCTTGTTCATATCATCCTCATCCTTAAAACAGAAAAAAATACTAAAAAAATAAGCACTGGTAACATGCCACAAATATGTTAACAAATGATCGGCGAATACTATAAAAAATGATATAAAAGAATAGGGAAAACTAAAAAAAAAAGTGAAGTTATGAAAGCGAAAACAGCGACGATGAAGAGAAAAAGATAAATGAATAGTATACTACTGCTAAGTTTCATTGAAGAAGAATATTAGTATACTTTGGCAACTGATCCAAACCCAAGTCCGAGACTTGGGTACCCAAACCCAAACCCAATACACCCAAGTCGCTTGGGTTTAGGTTTGTAACGTACCTACGTGTGACATATGAAAGACCACGGTCCTGTAACAGCAGGACGTGATCTAGTCAGGAAATACGCAACGTTTCAAAACTGTGTATTCACTCTTTGAAATGTAAAAATGAAATTAACCCTTAACTATAGTATAGTTTACTGAATTCTTATTAGATATTCTTAAAAATGTAAGAAAATAAAATAAAAGACATTTTCTGAAAAGTTTTTGACAGAAAAAATGAGGTGTTTCTTTATTCAGTACAACTTCATAATGAGAGCGCACTTGTTGATGTTCTTGGGTGTGTAAGTAAAAAATAGAAACAAGCAGACAACACTCCATTTCAGTCCTAAAAAGTCAAGAATAATTCTTTTATTTGTTCTACGCTTAATACTCAAGGATAGCATTTCGTCAATATAGTTTTGAGCTTTATCTCTCTCAATGTTGTGAATGATAAGCTCCTTAGTTAGTTTTAGACCAATAATGGCGAGTACTACTGTTGGTGATGCGTGCCATTCATGTGGTGGCTTTTCAATTTGTCAGTGCAAACATTGCTCGCTGCCAATGTGTATCGAATGCATTAAAGTACATAATGACACATTGATAGCAGCAGTTAGCATTTTACAAGATCAATACAACGAAATGAAATTAATGATGGATTCTAAACAAAAATCCTTTATTGATTTATCGACGCAACGACAAAAAGAAGTCACGCAACTATTTCAGAAAAAAATGAGAGTTTTAGGTGAAAATTATCAAAAAATGCTAAATACCGTAGAACGAGAAAAAATCAACGCTTATATAAGTTCCTCAGACATTTGGAATAGGCTAACCTTTTCATTAAGCTTTTCTTTTTTCTTCTTTCAAGGCATATTTTTCTGAGATGAATGAAAAACTGGAATCAATTGGTAATCAAATGCAGATGTTGATCAAAGGTCGCACGTTTCAAAGCTCTATTAATGACGAGTTAATGGCTAAATTAAATGAACTGAACGAGACATCGAAACAATGTGATTTGCCAAATGGAGGTGAAGTACTTTCAGAAGATAAACTATCAGTCGCGAAGGATGATGGTATTAGTATCCATGAACTGGCAGTCATTAAAACGACAGAAGAAAAGTATATGCAGACCGATTTACAAATGAGAGACATCACTAATGCTATATCGAAAGGTGCTGATGTATGTGGATTCGTTGCACCTCTTAACGTTTTTGATAAATGTGAATACGATGTATCATCCAGTTCGAGTGAAAACCAGGTCGATATTTCATCAATCAAATAACACTATGTTTACTGTAAATACTGTTGATATTCTTGTAAGTGATGGCCAAGATATTTTATATAGTTCAGAAGACTCAAATTTACTTGTTTATTGGCATTCGGACACAGAATTCGAAACAGCTTGCGTCTGGTATCATTCATTGGTGAAGGAAATGTAAGCTTTTGTGTAAACGACAACATTTTCGCGTCATTGAATACACGTAAACAGCGGAATTATGCGGTATTTCGTGTCACATTTTGTGATATAAATTCATGGAAAGAAATACGCACTATTATGTTAGGCAGATGTGACAAAGATGAAGAGGTTGAAATACGTAGTGATACTAATGGAAATTTTTTTAGCTCAAGTGGTATGAATAAGTTATGGATTGTTAAAGAAACTGGAGAAAAATGGTACGTTAAACTTGACAGCAATTCGAATAGGTTAGCCGTCCTCGACGATCAACGAGTTTTGATTGCGAATGGCACACACAACCTCGAACAGGTATCGTCTGATGATTAAATAGCCATTCCTAAATTATTGTTCAAAAGTATTCCAAAAAATATGACACTTGTAACATTCTTTAATTTCTAATTATCTCACGCCAGGAAGCATGTGGCATGAGAAAGTTGGTCGAGGCTTTCCCATATAAGCTAAATTGTATCAAGTGATACTCCGAACTTAAGAGTTTTGAATGATGCTATTTCCACTACATAGATAGAAAAAAATCATCTGTAGCTTTTTTAAAAACGAACACTAGCAATGGCTGATTTTATCTGTGTATTTGACTGCAGTCATTGTGGGATTTCTATATATTCACCGACTTGTAATTGAATACGGTTTTGTTAAAGAAATGAAGGTCAAAATAAAAGGAAAATAATTTAAATGACTTAATTTTAGGTATAAGGAGTTTTCTTTGAATTGTAGTGATCGTTGCAATCAACGCTAGCTATTAAACAGATGAGTCATCATATACACTCTGTCGACTATTAAGTGGCAAGGTTTCAAACTCTAAGTTCAAACTTTGACTTGAAAATCAACGATTCATTTTGTGCAATCAGAATCAGCTCTGTCTAATATCACCGGCATCTACGATCGGAAATACATTGACGGTAAAGCATCTAGAAAAAGTAGATACAGTCAATAATTCCATCAGAAATTCGGATAAATAACAGCTTATCGAAATTTCTGACGTGATCGTCGCATTTTATAGAATATCATCATTGTGGTTTATAAATAAATGTCAAAGAAATAGACATAATCTAAAACCTAACAACGAAAACTAAAGAAAGGTTGAAGATATTTGTATTATGTTGGGACGGGTTCACCCATGCATTCACTCTTACAGTGGTTCGAAAATTGAAGAAAAATATCCAAATTTATAAGAAAAATAGAGCAGATAATACAAAAATTCATGTCAACGATATTCGATGATTTAGCAAATAGTTCTAACTGATCAATAAAACAGTTTCAAGCTATAGCGATAAATACAACTCGGCTGACAACTATGTCACTAATCTCATCATAGCTTAGCTTCTCAGTTTAAATGAATCCATTGTCATGTCGTATCTGTGAACACTAGCAAGACGCAACCCGAAAAAAACCTCTGTCGCCAATGAGTTCCAAAAAGAAAAAATTCATCTTTATTCGACTAAATATAATTTTCTATTGTAAGCAGAATTTTAGTGTAAACGGTGCTAGGAATCATGCAAAGAAATTAATCACTCTTTTAAACAGAATGAAAAGGGAGTTTGAAAAAAGCATAGTAATATATTAGACAAAAATTAGTAGAAAGTAAATTATGAGGAAAAATTAATTTGTTTGCAACAGTTGCAATATTGTCGTCTGCCCAGGGTGAATAGGAGTTGCGATTGTAATAAGCACGTGATCGGCGATGTAAAAGGAATACTAGTGGCTGCCTGTGCAAGACGAATATATTAAGTGTTAGAGGAATATGGCGACGAAAGGATAATACAGCGAATCCGATTTCCCTGAAATGAAAATTGAATGTATCTGTGGAAATAATAATGACTTAAGCGGGGGGGGGGGGGGGGGGGGGGGGGGGGGGGGGGGGGGGGNCACCCCTATCCCCCAAAATAAAAATCACCCTTCCCGGGGCAAAAAAAACTACCCACCAGCCCCCCCCCCCCCCACACACACACCAGAGAAAATACCCGTTTATTTAATAACTGAAGAAATTCTTTTTTTTTTGATGAAATGCGCAGGAAATATGTAAGCGTTCATCTCTGAAAAAATTCTCAGCTCTTACTATCTAGTCTTCCGGAGTTATGGATAAAACACTGACCAAACTACACTGTCATTATTTCAAAATTTTTTTCAAATTAAATGTTGAAAAATTCTCGATGATTTCAAATCAAAGCAAATTATTATTCTCGTGGTTAGTGCGAAAAAGTTTTTTGTAAAAAGATTTTATCTGACTTTTCTTACATCAAACAGGGGCTCAATCAGAACGTGCCCTTTATTTTCCGTTTTGAGATACATGTGTTTAATTTTTGATTAGTGGACATCGATTCCTCAGAATGTTAACAAAGAAATCGCGTGCCTCCTTCGGTTGCGGTTCATGAATTATAAAGCCCAACGAGACATAGCATGTCAACAAAGGTATCGTGCCCATATATTAATGAAAATACATAGCTATCACAACATTCGGAATAAATGTCAACTAGAACACCGAAATATACTGAAAATTAAAAAGGAATAAGTAGTAGAAGACCATCCGATATTCATGATCGATCAGATATACCGCATATATTTCATTATGTAAGACTTTCATCCGTTTGAGAAATGATTGTTGACGGTTAATAACTTGCTTTTGGTTTCGTATCGTACTAGCTCCTTAACACACGTAAAAAAATTTATTATACATTTTTTGAAATTCAATAACGATATGTATCTCGTCAATAACTCTAGTTCTACTTAATCAAATCAAATGAAACTTTTTCTTGTCGAAGTCGTCCTGGTAATGATTCAAAACGTTTTCGTATTGTATCGTTCGAAATGTCCGACCACACTGTTTTCAATGCATCTTTTAGATCATCTATGTTATCGATTGTAAATTTTAATAATTTATTATCAGTAATGGACCAGATATTCTGAATAATATTTATGTCCGGACTACTTGCCGGCCAAATAATTCTTTCAACACGTTTTTTCTTGAAATATTCTTGTGTCACAGCAGATACATGTGGACGTGCATTGTCCTGTTGGTATAAAATTTGTCCTGATTGTACAGGTGAAAATTTTTGTAATGCTGCTGGCAAATAGGTTTCGAGTATATCAATGTATTTAGTTGAGTTCAGGCGCCCGTCGAAGATAACCAATGGCCCTAGGCCATGACACATAACATACGATCAAACTCCGATCCCTCCGCCCTTGTGAACTCGTTTTAGTGATCGTTCAAATCGAGTCTGATTGTTTCGAAATCGACGTATAAAGATTTGATTCTTTCGATTAAGTGCCTCATAATTACTTTCATCTGAAAATATAACGTTTGACCAATCTTTTACCGACCAATTCAAATGTTCATAGCACCACTGAATCCGTCCGAGAGAGAGAGAGAGAGAGAGCGTATGAGAGGTGAACTATATAGCATGCTGCGCTGTTTATGTGTCATACTTATAAGTATACGGTTTTTAATGTTTGATTTCCTTTCGATAGTTGTTCATCAAATGTCTTTTTGAATTCTCTTGATAATTGATTACCGCTGATATTCAAATGCGTTAGTGCACGATTTCGCTTCAATGCATGTAACACTAATCGGAAACCATCATCCGAAATTTTATTATCATTCAAATAAAGACGTTTTAGAGTCGTATTAGTTTTCAATGTTGCTGCAATGAATTCCATACCAGAGTTGGTTATTTCGTTATCACTAAGATCTAACAATTCTATAGTGTTATTCCCTTTCAACATATTTGCAATATATTGAGCACTATTATCCGCTATTTTATTCGAAGATAAAATGAGCATTTTGAGCGTAGTATTTGTTTTCCCTTTCAATGCGTGACTAAGCACTCTAATGCCATCATCGGTTATTTGATTCGAACTTAGTGTAAGGCGAGTGCATTTTCGGTTTGTTTTTAGTTCTTCGGCGATTATCGTCAAATCATCATCAAATATTTGTTTCATTGATAGGTCGACAGTCGTATTATTTTTGATATGTAATATAATTTTATGTAGTTCTACTGTCGGACGAGGTGGTGGTGATTGTGCACGACCACCGGTAGAACAGCGAACTTCTGGCATAGTTCCCATAACTGACCGAGTTGTAAGCGGCACAAAATGATTTTCTAAATCTTCTAATAATAGATTTTCCATACCAGATGGTGGCGGAGGTGGTCGCAAACTATCGAGCATGTCCGTAGTAGGGCGCTCGCTATCGTCGTCACCATCATCAGCATTTACAGACTGATCGTAGAGCTTATAGGTTCCAACATTACCCGTAACTTCTTCTGCAGCTAATGGGACTGTAGGAATGGTAAAACCGGGGCTGTCGGAATGGTAAACCGGTGACTGTAGGAATGGAAATGGTGGTGGTGTCTCCCGTAAGTGTATAATAAATAGATCTATCGCCGGTGACACTTTGCCGACAACTTCAAACTGGGTCGCTGGCAGTAAGAGAACTTCATTTTCCCTTTCATAATATGAATGATTTCGAATTACTTTTCCATTAGTACATTCAATACTAAACAAAGTTCGTGTGCCCGTCTTACCAAGAAACTGTTCTGATTCTAACGTTTCGGCTGATGTGGTGCACGAACTGAACCCCCACCATACAACTGTGTTGCCAACAATGTACTGATCGCTCAAGTTCTTTTTAATACCACGCCACACCATACATTTCGCTGAAGGTAATTTCCAAAGTCCTGATAAAATTAATTTTAAATAAAGAAACCATGGCTTTAGATGAGTACGATCTTCCATGCGCAGTGTTTGATTCAGTACATAATGGAAACTTTGATGTACATTATTCGATCCAAACGAATACAAATGTATTGCCGCAGATTCGTCTTGTGTTAAACCATCCATTGGCTTTCTGCAGTTCTGTTTAGCAATATAGATTTGGACCATAATTTCTTTGTCGAGATTGCACTGGACAGGTGCGATGGCTTCTTCAAGTGTTACTAAGGGATAGTCTTGGTAGCCATTGATGGGTAGCAATAATTTGCTGGGGTTCTCATAAACATCGATGTACCGCAAATTTGCATTCGGTCCGTTGTTATTGTCATTGCCTAATTCGGGAATGAACGGTACTCTTCGCGATGAAAGTGAAGATAGTTCTGGATCTTCCTCGTCAGAGTGGTTTTGCATTTCATTAACATTACAGGTGGCAGTCGCTGCTACTACATTTGTTGCAGAAGTGACAAAAGTATCCAGTGGCATCTGTCTACGGTTATATGGTCTGTTTTCTAAAACATAAAATATTTGATTCATGTAGACATTCTGGAAATATACAACAATTACGAGAACGTTCATGCTACGAGAAAACTCATAACATATAAGAATTTGTTTTTGGTTAGAAAGTATCCCGTTTGACTGTTCATCATCGAAACCGGTTATAACGCTGAAACTGCTTGAACGATTTTTTCGAGTAGCATCTCACATAATATTAGAGACAATTCTTAACAAAACAGAGTATTTCAGTCGATTAAAAAGTGCATATTTCGTTTGGAAGATCCAAAATACTGAAAAAGTGCGTTTTCGAAAAACATGATCTTTTTATGTAATTTGTGTTTTTTGAACTGTTATATACTCAGCCCAAAAATTTTATTTGCGTTTTATAGAGGAAACAATCATTGTTCCCTCTATAAAACGCAAATAAGTCTTATGTAGAAGTTTTAAGTTCTACATAAGACAGGCATAACAAGAATTTTTAAAATGCACTAACAAACTGTTTTTGGAAGATCACAAGTTAGTCACTTCATATTCATAAAAGATGTATTTAGCTTGTTCGATAAAATATTATTATATTCGTTATCTGCAAACAAATAGCGTCGAATGAGGTATCATTCAATATTTAAATAATGATACGAATCATTGAGCACTTCAATTCTTGCTGTCATATCTATGATCGTTTTTGACAGTTTCGATAGGCAAATTAGACAGTACTAGAATTCGAGTGGAACTATTCTTGTTCCATTTGTATAAACTACGGAAAGTAATGATTTACGAGTAGTTTAGCACTATGGTGCGTTGTCTATAAGTCCTAGAAAGAAGTGGTTATCTGTGTTTCTCTTCGTAAGTAAACGAAGAGCTTTAAATTTTCGAATCGTGTACTTTTTTTTACTTAGTCTTTTCGGCGGTGTTCCTGAGGGTGGTAGTAGATGTGTTTAGAGCATTAGTAGTATATGCGTCATATTTTTGCATGAATCTAAGGTGGCATTGTATCCTGCAGATTCGAAGAAAACAGAACATAAATTTGACATCGTTATTTGGGAGAATGAAATAGTACATTCCGTAGTTTATAAAAATGGAACAAGAATAGTTCTATTCGAATTCTAGTACTATCTAATTTGCCTATAGAAACGGTCAACAGCGACCGTAGATATGATAGCAAGGACTGAAGTGCTCAATGACTACTATTCGTTTCAAAATACAAGAGCAGTGAACATTTTTTGAGTAATCTGTGATAGAAAAGAGCTAGAGAGCTCCAATTTTTTCACCATTTGAAAGAAGAGACTTGAAGACATATTCTTATATCCAAAATTCTTTTCAGAAGAGTTTTCTGAAACAGGCTTTCTAGGAACTCTACGATAGATCTTCTAGGAAAACTAGGCCGTCTGCAAAAATTTCCCAATAGGATTGTATTGCTGTTTTGTTATGGACTGATCGCCCGGGATGTTCTCTTCAAAATGTGAGTAAAGTGAGACCTTCATTTTCCGCGATCCGACCGATGTATCTGATTTTTTAGGAGTCATAGGACTAGCACTCAGTGACTATTAGTAGCCTTGAAGACCATGCTGAGTCTCGTGGCAATATTTGAAAAAATTTTAAAAATCTAACGAAAGTCAGTTTCATGAAAATTAGGGTTTTCAGACTATTTTCACCCAATATTAAAAAATCCACTTTTCACTTAGAAAACATCAGAATGAGTTCAAAACTTCAGAATATAGAGTATTTAAGCTATTCTATATCCTTTTAATAGGAGATCTCGAAAGAAATGTTAAAAAAGCCAAGGTTTTCCAAAAGGGCTTCTGTAAAACCTATGAACAAAACCATGCTTTTTCGATTTTTCCAAACTTATGATCATGTTTAGCGCACAACGTTAATCATATTCTGAGGTTTTGAGCGAATAGTGAATTTTTTAATATTAGGCTAAAAAAGTGTGAAAACCCTAATTTTAGTAAAACTGGCTTTTCGTTAGCTTTTTAAAACTTTTTCTAAAGCAAATATTGCCACGAGACTCACCATGGTAGATTATACATAGTCGATCCGATAAAACGCCCGAAGCGCGGAAAATGAAGATCTCACTTTACTCACATTTTGAAGAGAGGCGATCAGTCCATAACAAAAAAGTAATACAATCCTATTGGAAATTTTTTGCAGACGGCCTGGTTTTCCAAAGAGCTCCTAGATAATCTGTTTCAGAAAACTCTTTTGAAAAGAATTTTGGATATAAGAATAGGTCTCCAAGTCTCCTCTTTCGAATGGAGAAAACCGGAGCTTTCTAGTTCTTTTCTATCACAGGTTATTGATAGAAAATGAGAAAAAAGCAATACAATCCTATTGGGAAATTTAATCATAAAAGAATCATGTTTTTCGAAAATGCACTTTTGCAGTATTTTGGATCTTCCAAACGAAATATGCACTTTTCAATCGACTCAAATAGCCTGTTTTGTTAAGAATTGTCAGTAATATTAAGTGAGATGCTACTCGAAAACATCGTTCAAGCAGTTTCAGCGTTATAATCGAAATGCCGATCCGTACCAGGCTTCTTTAGACACCGATGATACTTTTGTTGGGGAAATACTTCATAATGTGGTAACCACGAAGGTCCAAGGTGAAAAAATCTGGATCTGTAGAGTTTCGATGATGAACAATCGAACGGAATACTTTCTAATCAAAACTAAATTCTTGTATATTATGATTTAATAAAGAAATTCTCCATCTGCACACGGAGACTCTCTTAAGAATCGTCTGCCTGGCGCAGCTCTAGTAGTGACTAGGTTTTCACCCGGTGTATTAACATACCTGGGAAGAAAACTGGTTCTCTGTCATACACATGCATTTGTACATGATCGATCAATTCACGTATAGCAGTGTCGATTGGATGTTCAGCTTTATCTCGAAAATCTATCCATAGAAGACCAGCTGTTAAAAAACCCAGAGCACCAGTTGGTTTCCAATTAGAGCACAAACGACAAGGAATAACTAAGACTTTTTGGTCAATTGCATATTGTAATTCACGCAGACAGTATTCGGACGTTTGATATCTTGGTGTAAGAAAACAACATATAGCAGCCGCATTTTCTATACCCTCGGCCAATCTAAACAGATGTGCATTTAGCAACAAAATACTTTTATCGCACACCCTTTACTTTACTCTTAACTACGTTGTCATTACGAAGTCAAGCGAAGTGTGCTTTTTCTGAATTGTACCATAATCCTAGCTATCCTTTGCAACATAAGTCCTTTTTTGAACACCTTGAAGAATTTTAGTATAAGCATCAGCAATTTTCGTTCAATATTACTATTCTGATTTTGCATGCAGAAATTTATGCTTTACTAATAGTATAGGAAGGAACTTGGTATTTAATAAACACAGAAAATAAACTTACGCTTGCCACATATTTGGTCTCATGCCACCTCTAATATCCATCCATACTTCAATATTTTGCGCTATTAATTTATCAAAAACTTGGCCGACAAGCTCTTGATTATCCCGCTGATAAGATAGCATTATATGTTTCCCCGACATTCTGCAACGGAAAAACAGCGATTATTTTAAGAGATCTTGGTTCTTTCTACCATCGAGTGCCCATCACTTTTACGTGTAAAAAAAGTATTTATTGTGTTTATTTACAGCAGAGTCTTTATCCACAGTTATCTTTCGCTATTCATTACGCTCAGTCTGACACAATAGTTAAAATATATTATATTCTTCAAAGGGAACGGCGGAAAAAGAGATCAATGAAATAAAGTAAACACATCTTGTTGTGAAACAAAGAAGATAAACCGCACTTCAAGATTCTTATGTGGATAAACTGTCTATTCACTTACAGATTTCTATTATTACTATTCCTAGTGAATGTACTTGACGATAGGTACCCGAGTATTCATGTTAAATGGTAAGTATTTTCCAGCTTCTTCTTGTAACATTCAGACAAGCTTTCAGTGACGCCTTCTGTTCATCTTAAAATAAAGCTGTTTCGCTTAATCTTTGGATCAGTTTTTCTCGAACTGAAAAACTACATTTTAGCCAGGCACGCTTAAACTTTTCATGGAAAAGCTTTCTATAAATAATAATGAGGAAAAACTACATTTCTGTGAAACATGTGCAACGTTTTGTGCTCTTTTCTATCATCACTGTTAGAAAAATTCAGATATAGTGGTGAAATTGGCATTTAGGTACTCAGGAACCCCTGAAAACGCGTAAAATCGTCTTTTGCGAACTGTACACGACTATTATCGGAATCGTTTGAACGCCTAAAATGTATCGCTTCATAAGTGATTTTTCGTTTATGTATTCTTTTATGTTATGTTATTCTCTGACTACGTGCGTTACGTATGTCTCTTTTACTTACTATTTATACCAGCAATTTTCGCTTGTTGAATAGTCAAAATGATGTCATGGGTTTATTCCACTTTTTTTTTCCTGTTCTATACTTATTAGGTGGAAATTCTTTTCTTTTTTTTCTTGTTTTTTTACAAATAAAGCTTATACTAAGTGATTTTTCATGCTCTCGATGATCACCCTCTGACTGGCTTTCAGATCATGTAATGGCGGAGCTGCGTGAAACTACCCTTATATTAGTAATGGAAAAGAGATAATTTCTCATTCATTCACTATAACGATGCTATTCTTTTGCACAGAAACAATAGAGTTCTAGCGGTTAAAAAGAACGAGATTGATTCTCATTCTTATTGTTTTTCTCTATCTATGACTCATTTTTGCGTTACAAGCAAAAGATTTCATAGATTTTCTTTTGCTTTCTGTGTAGCTAAACAGAATGGCGGTATGTAACCAAAAGAAGCACAAATAGTAGATATAACCTGCAGTGCAAAAGTAATTGCCGAAATCTCCAGCCATAATTCTCCGCTCAGGAACATCGCAGAAAGTTCATTCGTTTCTAGTTGAAAGAGCAAAGCCTGAACTTCAAAAAGCATAGGAAACAAAATTTTTGGGATTGGCTTTGAGGAAGAAAAAAGTACGATATCAAATGGGGTATCGTAAATTATGCCTTGATCCACTTTTGGACCGGAATTTTGCAAGGTTTTCATTAGTCTCAAAAAACAGATAATTAGACTTACTTAAGGCGGCCCCCGCCCGCCCGACCGCTCTTGATACGGGCTGTCGCCCCCCGGTGGTCTACCTCGCA